GTGATGAATGCTACAAGAGATTATCTTGTCCATACTATAACAGAGATGTATCTTCTAACATAGTGAAAGAAAACTCAAATTTGCAATACCTCCACTAGGTCAGGGAGAAAAGGGTGAAAAACAAATGGCCAGTGTCCCAATTTCCTGAATAGTTAGGAACCTCCAGGCACTGTGGCTTCCTCAATCAAGTGCATTACCTCACTCCAGCCCCACAGCAATCCTATGAAATAGGTGTTATTAGGGCCATTTTACAGACAAGGAAACAAGGTCCTGCAAAGGATGATAAAGTAGAGCTAGGAATCTCACCCAAATGTACCCAGCTCACCAAATGTACGAAGATGGGGCCTTTGAATTAAGTGTTGAGGGCAGGTAATAGGGGGACGGAACAAGAGGAAGAAGCCTTGGGCAACATAAGCAAAGGCAAAGAAGACAGGAAATACGCATGATTGCTTTCAGAACTGTGCAGCACTTGAATGTTTACTTATTAACTCAGTAATGAATGGCTGCCTTAAAATTGCACCTTATATAATAAATAATTCAACAGTATTGCTCTCTTCCACCCTCACATTTCACGAATGTTTTTCCCCCAAACTTCCCACATCCATGTCTTCTCACTAAAACAAAGTCTGTGCTCCGCTACCATCTCTAACTGTTTCTCATAGAGGCGGCTGCACAGTAGTGGAGGACAGACCATGGTACACAGAGAACGTCTGCAAGAAGTCCTTAAACGACTAATACTTTGTAAATCAATACCGTTACTAAGAGAACACCGAAAGAAACACTAAGAATTTGAATCTATGGTGTATGGCTCCTTTCTAAAAGATTTTTTTTTATTGTTACTTTTTGGTGGGGTGGCAGGACCCTGATATTTGAGCTCATATAATCAGTAAAACCTGAAAAGACTTTCAAGATTATTACTAAGGACGGTTTGTTATTTCTTATTGAAATTGTTATTTCAATTGCATTAGGTATTTATATATATATAGCTTATATATATATAAATATAACATATTGTGATCTAATCTATCTTGGCCAAACTACAAATCACCTAAAGAAATAATACTGTTATATCATTAAGTACAGTAGTAAGTCTCCCCTTCAGAACCATTTTCTGAAAGAGCTTGAATTGTGCAACATTACATGTCACCACCACTAGGTGGCACCGCAACTAGTTTGAGAAGCGCCAAGACCATGGGTAATCACCTAGTGCCAAGGGAAGACAGGCACGGGGACCTCAGAGATACAGGGGGTTTGCTTCCAGACCACGGCAATAAAGCGAATGCTGCAGCAAAGAAGCCAAATGAATGTTTTGGTGCCCACTGCATATAAAAGTTATGGTTCCACTCTACTGGAGTCTATTAAGTACACAAAAGCATTACATCTAAAAAAAAAATGTATATATCTTAATGAAAAAGCACTTCATGGCTAAAAATTGCTAACTATCATCTGAGCTTTCAGGGAGTCATAAATTTTTGCTGATAGAGGGGCTTGCTGCCATACTGATGGCTGCTGCCCCATCAGCAGGTGGTTGCTGAAGGCTAGGGTGCCCCCAGCAATTTTTTCAATTAAGACAACAATTAAGTGTGCAGCATGGACAGACTCTTCCTTTCATGAGGGAATGCGGCTTGACAGCACTGTACCCACAGTAGAACTTCTTTCAAATTGGAGTCAATCCTCTCAATCCCGCTGCAGCTTCATCAACCCCCTTCATGGAATATTCTAAATCCTTGGTTGTCATCAACGATCTTCACAGCAACGTCACCAGGAGTAGCTTCCATCTTAAGAAACCACTTTGTTTGCTCTTCTATAAGAAGCAATTCCTCAGCCATTCAAGTCTGATCCTGAGATGCAGCAGTTCAGTCCCCTCTTCAGGCCACACTTCCAATTCTAATTCTTTTGCAATTTCCACCATATCTGCGGTTACTTCCTCCACTGAAGTCTTGAACTCCTCAAGGTCATCCATGAAAGTTGGCACCAACTCTTCCCAAACTCCTGCTAATGTTAGTATTTTGACCTCTTCCCATGAATCACAAATGATCCAGAAGGATGACTCCTTTCCAGAAAGTTTTCAACTGGCTTTGCCCACAGCCATCAAAGGAATTACTGTCCATGGCAGCTATAGCCTTACAAAATGTATTTCTTCAATAATGAGACTTGCAAGTCAAAATGACTCCTTGATCCATGGTCTGCAGAACAGATGTTGTGTTAGTAGACAGGAAAACAACTTTCCATCAGAGCTCTTGTGTGGCCGGGTGCACTGTGAATGAGCAAGAATATTTTGAAAGGAATCTTTTTTCCTGAGCAGTAGGTCTCAACACTGTGTTTAAAATATTTAGTAAAGCATGTTACAAACAGACATGCTGTCACCCAGGCTTCATTGTTCCATTGATAGAGCACAGGAAGAGTCAATTTACCATAATTTTAAGGGCCCTAAAATTTTCAGAATGATGAGTGAACACTGGCTTCAACTTTAAGTCACCCTCTGCATTAGCTCCTAACAAGAGAGTCAGTCTGTCCTTTGAAGCTTTGAAGCCAGGCTTTGACTTTTCCTCTCCAGCTATGAAAATCCTAGATGGCTTCTTCTTTCAATAGAAGGCTGTTTAGGCTACATTAAAAGTCTGCGGTGTAGCACCTTCATGAATGACCTGAGCTGGATCTTTTGGGTAACTCGCTGCAGCTTCTCCATCAGCACTTGCTGCTTCCGCCGCACTTTTATGTTATGGAGACGCTTCTTTCCTTAAACCTCATGAACCAACGCCCGCTCGCTTCCAGCGTTTCTCCGGTAGCTTCCTTCCCTCTCTCAGCCTTCATAGAATCGAAGAGAGTTAGGGCCTTGCTCTGGATTAATCTTGGTTCAAGGGAATACTGTGGCTGCTTTGATCTCTCCAGACCACTCAAACTTTCTCCATATCAGCAATAAGGCTGCTTCACTTTCTTATCAATCACGTGCTCACTGAAATAGCACTTTTAATCTCCTGCAAGAGCTTTTCCTTCACATTCACAACTTGGCTAACTGTTCGATGTAAGAGGCCTAGCTTTCAGCCCATCTCGGCTTTTGACCTGCCTTGGTCACAAAGCTTAATCATTTCTAGCTTTTGATTTAAAGTGATGGATGGGCGACTATTCCTTTCACTTAAACACTTAGAGGCCATTATGGTGTTATAAACTGACCTAATTCCAATATTGTTCTGTCTCAGGAAATGGGGCGGGCCTGAGGAGAGGAAGAAAGATGGGGGAACCCCGGTCCAGGGAACAGCCAGAACACACACACTTATCAACTGAGCTTGCCAGGTTACATGGGTGTGGTTCATTGTGCCCTAAAACAATTAAAATGGCAAAACATCAAAGATCACTGATCAGAGATCCCCACAACAAATATGGTAATAAAACACAAAAGACTGAAATATTAAGAGAATTACCAAAATGTGACACAGAGACGGGAGTGAGCAAATGCTGTTGGAAAATGGCACTAATAGACTTGCTCAGCACAGGGTTGCCACCAACCTTCAATTTTTTAAAAAAAAACATTATCTGCAGAACAAAATAAGGCAAAGTATAAGAAAACAAGGTACACCTACACTTTTCTCAGTGGGTTTGGAGGACCAAATTCTGTTTCCTTGCCTTGGTGATACCAAAAATTTATGTCTGGAGATGACACCAAACACAGGCGAAGGAAGCAAGTGTTCCAGAACAAAATTAGAATCTAAGAGCATTTCACCCAACAGGACAGTGAAGAGGTGACCTCCAGGAAAGGTCACTGTAACTTTGGAGGAAAAAATAAGCCCTACAGATCAAATGCAAAGGGTTTGCTTAAACCAAGATGTTTAAGAAGCACCAGCTTACAAGTGTGACAAAATAATCATCCCTTTACAATAAATAATTTCAAGAGGCTTAATATACACAGTCTTCAGGCCCGACTCCTAGAGAAAGGTGACGGATACAGAAAAGATTCAAGGCAAATTCCATGAAAAGTAATGGGATGAAGAGAGTAGCTACAAGTGGGTAAAATAATGCAGATGGTGTTTGCTCTAAAGAAGGGTAGGCTTACTCAAACAGCAGATAACTGTGTAAAGGTGAAAGGCTTAAACTTCATAAAGAATTTAAAATAAAAATAAAGGAATCCTTCCCTGAAAAAGAAAGTTTCAGAAGAAAAGCCAGTATTTATGTCTTAAAGTGTAAGTATCAAATAGGACCCTCGGGCGATGAGGCTGTAACCTCTCACAGGCCTCTGCAGGCCTGCAATCTACGCTCACTCTGTTAGGACAGCCCTGCACAGGGACCCTACCCGGGCAATGCTGCGGCTGGTTCGATCACTCCTGTTTTCCTTTAAGCGGTAGAGGCCCTGGGCTCTATTATCACCACCCAGGATATTTGTAAGTCACGAAATCAGAATCAAGAAAGAGGAAACAAACCGAGAAAACAGACACAGTACAGGGCAGGGCAATAACCCAAGAATAAAGAGGAAATACTAAAGTTACTTATTTGCTATTTATGTTGTGATCAATCTTTCTAATGTAAAAATCTTAATCTTCTTTACTGATCATCTTTTAAACAGCACCACTAACTTGTTCTGCAGCTCAAAGGCAGCTAGCTCATGCAGAATTCAACAGCCCTGCCTGGCTCAGACCAGAGCTAGCAGGATATTCACCTCCTCAGAGGCCAGCTCAGCCCTGGCACTCAGGTGGAGCATTAGCCCAGCTTCTGAAAGTGCAGCTGACAATTTCTTTTGATTTCTGTTTTCCTTCATTTCCTTTGGTGACAGAGCCCTCAACTTACATAACAACAAATCTTACAAACTCTAAAAATTTCCCTCTGCCCACCCCTCATCCTCACTTCTCTCACTCTTGGGCCCACGCTGCCTTCCACTAACAGGTTGGAAATCGGGGCCAGAACAGGACTTCCCCTGAATGAGAGGACATTTGAGGCGCCTTCTCCCCGTCCACCCACAAAGCTGTCATGACTCAGACCAGGTTACTAGCTCCTCCACACATTTGACATACCTTTTGGAAGGGTCTTTCTGAAGACACAGTGAAAGTAATTTTCTAAAGGACTTGCCGTACTTTTTCATCATTTCCTTATCCTCTACTCCGGTTTCTAAAGTGGGTGGATCATTTTGCAAAGTCAACATTAACACCTGCAACAAAAACACACAGGAAGACATAATCTCAGTAGAGCAATTCTTACAACTGAGTTTTTAATGCTTCATAAAGCCTCAAAGACAGTCCTTGATCAGACACAAATGTGCTTTCCCAAGATTTTAGCTTCCAAGAAAGCGGGTATTCAAAGCACTCCCCTCTGCAAATCGGTTCGTGGGCCCTTTAACCTTTTTGTTATTCCACTGACAGAACTTATAAAATCTGCTCTGTGGGTTAAGAATGATCTCCCAAAGCGAGCAGCCCAGGGCGTCCTGGGAAGTGGTATCACACAGCCTTAGCCTTGAGGAGCGCGCAGTTCCCCATGGGCTTAGTGCAGGCGGGGCCCTTCCCTTCCCCTGGGAGAGGGGCTGGCAGAGGGGAGGGCGAGAGAGGCCCAGGGCAGCCAGGTCATTCATACGTAAGGGACTGCCTGTACTGGAGCTTCTGTGACACAGTGCCAGCCCTAGGAAATAAATACACATCTTCCCAGGAGTTAATACATGATTTCCTTTTCTTTTTTTTTTTTTTTGAGAAAACATGCAGAGAACTGCTTAAAGGCTGGGCAAAATTGAGTCAGTAAGGCACTGAAAAGCCAAAATACAAGAGTGTTATTAAAAGCCACGACCACAGCCAAAGGCCCATGCTGCTTTCGAAGGGGGACAAAACAAAATCAAAATACTCCTTCAAATCAAAAAAGGGAAAAAAGTCCACCGTAAGATCAAAATGATTTGCTTAAAAAAAGGGTAGAATCTGCAGTAAGCTATTGACCTATGAAATGACTAAACCTCATTAATGCATAAATCAGCCTTAATTTATGCAAATGCTATACACGCCAAAACTCCTCAAACACTCTCGGATGTGTGAACAGATGAAGGATTAAAGTGAGAGTTTATAGCTGGTGGAGGTAACAGCAATCAGAGGAAAGTGGGGGGACTGAGAGTCTGGGGAAACTCCTGCAGGACTTGAAACGGTAGGAGCAATGTAGCTTTAGATTCGGGTGGGAAACACTTATGAGGTGGGGGAAGAAAGGAAACAAGAAATACAAAAGAATACAGAAAAACCAGGTGGAAGAAAAAGTTCTCAAGAGCTGCTTCAGGGCTTCTTCTCTAAAAGATCATTTCAATTGTTTACACCTCAACTTTAAATTTTCTGTTATCAAAATCAGGTATGTATACAGATACCCCCAAATCTTGGCTATCTTAAAATATGTATATAAGTGTATAGAGAAAAATAATGTAACAAATTACACTAAAATCTTAATAAGGATTGTCTGTGGCTAAATATGGATTACTTTCTTCATATTTGTTCTTCCAAATTTTCTATGATAAGAATGCATTAACTTTTTCACCAGTAAAAATTACTTTAACATTTTTTTTAATCCTTCTGCATCTTTTGTAATCCTCCTAAGTTTTTCCAATATTTTCCTAGAAAAAGTGAAAACACAGACCACATTCTCTGTAAAATACTGTTATATAAATTTCCACTAAACTATTTCAGCCTCAAAACAAAACCTAGCTGGGTAAGTTAGGCCTAATACCACATCTCAGAACTAAGAGAAATGATGTAGGCTGGTTAAAAATGTACAAAAATCTGAAAATAGTATCCAAATGTATGTTATTTCCTAAAAACACTTATTTCCAATGAGTCACTAGCACAACACTGCACGAACAGGGGTGAAATGTTATAGACCATTTTAAAAAAAAGACCTAAAAATTTGGGAACTCTATCTGCAAAGATGTCACTATAAACTATGTTTAGGTTGCTTGGGGGCTGGGAGGGTTCTGCTACCAAGAGAATAATGACCAGCATCTGTCACAGTTCTCAAGCTCCATCAGTCAGTCAGATTCATTGTTTAGTGAGTTCTGTAGGCAGAATGTAAAGCAAGCTTCAAAAGTGGGAATTTAACATTGAACCACATTTAACTTGGCTGCATTCCTCCACTAATTCTCCTCAGGTCTAAGAGAAAAATGACAGTGTTTAAGAGAATTACAGAACAGATATCGTTAAATCATATTTCAAACCCAACATGTTATTTCCGACAGTAATTACTTTCATAGGAGGATATTTGTGATAAGGCGCTGCTCCAGTTGCTAATTCAATGGCAGTTATTCCAAAACTCCACATGTCAGCCTTGAAGTCATAGCCTCTCACCTAAGAAAGGAACCAGGGAAAAACACGATTATACAGCTGACATATTACATATCATGAAGACCACTGTATGTTGGAAGTTCACAGCTGTGTATGCACACCTGATATTACTTCAGTACTGAGGCCCAGCAGTTGGGAATTAAATCCTAGTTACGTGATGCTTTCCAGTAAAATGATTGCTTTGAGTGAAATGTTAGTGTATTAATAATCTATATACTACTATACTATGTCAATCAAACCATCATTTTTTTTTTACCTGTTCCATGACTTCAGGGGCCATCCAACATGGGGTGCCAACAAATGTTTTTCTGACTTTATTCCGGGTAACATCACCCCCTGTTGCTAAGAATGCACTTACCCCAAAATCTGAAAGGCAAAAAAAAAAAAAAAAGCCCTTATTTTATGTGAGACATTATTGCTTTTACAAATTCTGACTTATGAACACCTTTTTTTCCTAGTGAGCTTTACAACGGTGATGAACTGTTCCAACACCACGGAGCTCTCTCAGGTATAGGGCAGGGCGGCCCTGCCACCTGCTATAGCCCACACTTCCGGAGAACACCATCACGAGTAACGGGTCAGCGAGCCCACCGCGCCCAAGGCTCAGCACACCGAATTACATCTCCTGCCAAAAAGGTATCGAAAGCCCTAACTAACCATAAAGGGTCACATCAATAAAATATAAACACATTCCCCCAAAGCCCTAAGTATAAAGGGTCTTAACTTTCATGAGAACAGCACCAGAGGCCGTAAAACTAATATGTGAATAAAAAAGAAAACTATAAATGTGGTATAAAAACTCTTTACATTTTTCTTTTATGATGATGATGATTTCCCAGCCTCTTTAATTCCCTATCACCAATATTTGGGGACGGGATTTTTCTTTTTAAATATAAGATGGGTAACACCCATCTTCCACATTCTCATGCCCTTAAACAGCGCTAACACCTTAGCCAAATCGTAATGCCAAGTGCACAAACCCAGACACATAAAATCAGCATGCCCAGGTGTGCCCACATGCAGTAATCAGCACTAAAGAAGAGGCTCAGTCAGCAGAGATGGTCTTTTTCAATGTTTGCTTCCTGGGTAGTTTTCATAGGTATATAGATGGAACGGTTGGTAGAATGAAATCATCCTCTTCTGAACATCCCCAATATACACTAAGAGTCTTTTTATGAGGTGAATTATTTAGGCACACTGCATATATGTGCATGCGTATATGCCAAAAGGGTATCTGTGACGACAGAGAAGGGAATACCCAGTGATTATCAATGCCTGCATTTCTGCTCAGATCTTTACTAACGGTTACAATTAGTTAATAAGTTAAAGTACCAACTACCCAGGGCTAGTCCAGACCTGCTAGTGGGAGCCACCTCAAGGACAGCTTGATAGTAAGCTAGAGAACAGTAATAAAAAAGGGTAATCAGCACTTCAAACGCTGCAGCAGATTCTGCAGCATGACCCCCTTCAAATCATTCACATGTAGCTCCCCTTTGTGGGACCTTTGCTGACTGCCAGGGTGACAAGCAATTGCCAAGGGACAACATCAAGGTCAGAAATGTGGTAGCCTTTGCTTCAGGTCCTGCAACATTAAGTTATGCAATAACCCTGGAAGCAGGTGCCTGAGTTGAAGTATGTTGACTGTTTCATTTTATTTACATTTACATTTACTCAGCTTGCAGTAAGATTTAAACGACAAGTGAGAGGACTACAAACTGACAAATAGACTTTGATCCAACTGCTACTGTCATGTTAATACTGAGCACAAGTATATCTTGAAAATGCTATGCAATTTAATTTGCATGTATGTGCTAAACTCTAAAAGTCTTTGAATTCTTATAGGGAAGTCAGAAAAATGAAGCCTTGTGAAAAGAAAACCCTGGCACCAGTGAACCTCTCTCCCACAGGTGGGAGGGGATAAACTTAATTCTCTTACAGAAGAGCTGGGTGACTGGAATCATTTGTAAGTATTTATCATATTCAGCTCGAGGAAAAGACAGCATGGCAGAGCTTTCAAAAATATTAATTCCAACTTAATCTATGTTTCTGAAAAGAAGTTCAACAATGAATCCAACATTCCATTTCTACTAAAGTAATTTTGTAACATGGTAATATTAAATATTTCATCTTTAAATAATGAAGAATATGGGTGAAAGTTGCTTTAATGAAAAATATTCTTTTAAATGCAATCAGAGCAACCCTAACTCCAAAGTCTCTTCCTAAAAGACACAATCCAGACAGAAATCCATAGTTAACATTAGATTTTCTTAAAATTCCTTAAAAATTTCTTCTGATCACATACGCCCTTTTTAAAGCTGCAAAAACAGCTGAGAAAGACATATAGTAGCAACTCATTATTGATGATACCCCTCATGATATATCTTTCATGACTCACATATTTATTCATAGCTTCCACTTAGAACACTCTCGTTAAAGTCATAAACAGATGGTTAAACATCGTTAAAGCTCAGAACAAAAATTACAGAAGCAGAAAACACCAACCCAAAATCTACTCACCCTGATGACTACAGAATAAATACACAATCTTCTCCCATGTACGGCTGATGTGTGTAGAGGACGATTTATACGTACTGAGAAACAGAACGCACTCTGACTGAAGTACATGGTGTGCTTGTGTAAACAGGAAAATTGGTACATTTTGTCGAGACAGCTTACAGACCACAGTGAGCAGGGGCTGGCGGAGCAGTGACGCGTCCCTGCTTCCTTAGGGTCACGTCTATGAGCTGGAGAGAGTGGAGCCAGACACACTCGGGTCAGACCCATGGGCATTGCTCTGGCAACATGGACCCTAAGGCTACAGCTAGCCAGCCCATCTCCCTGCCTCCAGCAGGAACCGCATCCAACTGGAAAGGATGCCGCCATCCTGGGGCCTAAACGGCTCTGACACAGCTTGAACCCATCCACTTCTCTCCTTCCCCACGGCCACTGCATAGGTTTACGCCAGGATTCCTACGGCATCCTAAGCCACCACCCCCTTCCTTTCCCCAGAGCCACACTCCAGCATCCCCACCTTTCCAGGTCACAGGCCTGACCCCTCCTACAAAGTCTTTAAAGGCTCCCGGCTCCCCGAGGAGAAGCCAAAATCCTCAGCACAACATGCAAACTGACTGCCTTTCCTCACCTGCCTCACCTTTCACCACTCCCACGTTCAGACCTCGCTTGTGCTCCAGTTCTCCTCAACTACTGACTTGTCATGCCCATTCCCGCCCCCACCAGTGTGGCCTGGCACCCGAGGCTTCGTGGTTGATCGGGCACATCATGCCCTGAGGGCAGGGCCATCAAGAGAGGCCAATCTGCTTGTCTTGTTACTGACAGAAGCGTCCCTGGCACCCTGATACTTGGTGCCTTGGGGCTTTGGGACAGCCCTTACGTTAAGGAGGGGTGGGGGTTCGCTTGAAGTGCATCCACCTTTGCCTAATGTGTGGTGTATGATTTAAGTAACTCGGGGGGTTGTCCTTTGATAGGTGAATGTTAAGCCTTGAGGAGGACCTGCAAGGTTCTGCAGCACAGCTGCCTGATTTGGAGAGCGGTAGACCCTCCAGGAGGGAGCAAAGCCCTGACTGGCAAGGGCCAGGCCCCCAGTGGTCAGGCCAAAGATGAGGCTATTCCCAACCGTGGGACTCCAGCAAGGCACTTGACCTTCCTTACAGCCTTCTCAGAGATGCCTGTTTTGAGGTATTTTCATATTTATAACCCTCTTCCTTCTTTGCACCATGTATAAATATGCCCCACAATAATTGTTGGGCAGATCAGCAAGCTACTACTACTGTCTGCCATTTAACTGTGCCGAGGCGAGAAGCATGAACATTTTTACAGAGGTAGATATAAATTATGAGAAAAATGTGTGTCCTGACCTTAAGAATCTCCTGACCATCTAGGAGGGAAAACGTAGGAAAACAACTAACAACAGAACAATGTGCAAAGTGGAATGCCATGCCATGCTGTCTGTGCAGGGGCAGCGGAGCCAGGACCCTCTGCCTCCAAGCGGAACTTGAACCTGGCCTTGAAGATGAGGTTAAGATTCGGAGAGGCAAGCCTCAAAGGAGACAGCATCCCACACAAAGACACGGTGTGAGCAAAGCACATGCGCGGAGCCAAGAAGAAAAACTGACAGCATCAAGGTCAAAAACTCAAACATCTAAAGGGGCCAGGCAGGAATGGAAGGGAGGGAAGACGGTCCTGGAAGCCAACAGCACCCAGCTGCCGGGCGGCCCGGGAGTCGGTTCACAGGGCCTCCCCCCAGGTCCGAAGCAGGCGCTGCTGTTTAGCTGTAAGAGGAAGTGGCCGGGAGGCCTATGGACGAGATGCCCCGATTTCCCTGGGGAAAGCCGAACACCCAGATCAACCTCCCTCCTTTGTTGTTGGCAACAAATTCATCTTTTTTAAAGTGGAAAAGCAAAGTTAAGCCACTTCACCTGCCTGATTTAGGCTGCAAAACTAGTCTGCCAACTGAGCTGTTATAGTTTCTAAAATTTACCTAAACGATTTCCACACACACCATGCGGCGTCTGCGGTACCACAGCCCAGGTGGTCAGTGGCATTCTGACCCAGTGTCTCACCAAGGGGTTTCAGCCCCGGACAAGTTCACTCTGGACTCGGTGAGACCGAAAAATGACAATGGGACATTCTTGGGCTGAAAGGGTTTATACCCGGCTTTATTCCCACAGTGGCGGGTCAAGCACTAGAATCCCGTCCACCTCAGGGCAGGTCTGCAGGCAGCAAGCCGGTCTCTGCCTCTGGGCCCCTCTGCCCCGCAGCCGTCTCGTCCTCGGTGCTGCCACCCCTCCAGCCTCTGCTCTCCTGCAGCTGTGCAGCCCAGAGTCCTGGGCGAGCTCTTTATACAGAGTCAATAATACCATATGCCCACACGTGTGCAGTGGGCGAGTGGGGCAGGGCCAGGTGAGAATCCTGGCAGTGGGAACTTTCATTTTCTCTATACCCAGGTTACACAGTGCTGGAAGTTTCTGGAAGCATTTGATTCAAGACACGAGAGGCAGCTGCTAGAAGTATTTCTGTCACCTGTATCTAAGCGTAGATAGGTATGAGGCAGGTGAATGCCCAGAAGAAGCTACTGGGGGAGAGAGTTGCCCGCTGGCAGGCACAGTGCATGTTAGAAATGGGCTTTCACTGGCGAAAGCTAAGATGGTTAGTACATAGAGAGGGGCCCAAGTGGTGTAGACACACTGCCTACTCTTGCATGAACAGAAAGAAAGAATCTAGCCAGGCCCAAGTGTAAGCTAAACCGCTAACCAGTTCTCTGCCTAGTCAGCGTCAGACAAGTGTAGAATACTGCATCTGGAATTCTGGCATGTCTGCTCCAAGAGGCTCTTCCCTTCACCTGGAAG